CATTTTCTCCTAAATATCTTTGAAATTTTGTCAGAATTTCTTTGTAATGTACTTCCGCAAATTTTGCCTGTAAATGTATGGAACATTTTGTGCTTAATTTGCTAAAAAATAATGAAGAGTTTACTAATTTTCAGTTTTGCTCCTCGAGGTTCATTTAAAAAAAAAGAGAGAAAAAGCTGTGTTTTATACTTTCGTAACCCTCGTAACTTTTTAATTAATAGTATATATCTGAGGATCAGAAATAAAGGGAATAAAGTGTGGAACTAGCCTTTTTGAGCATTCTGTATAATTTAATCTTAAACTAAATTTTTTACTTTCCCTTTACATGTCATAAACGTATATGACAAATTATTTTTATCTGCTACACAAATAGTAATGAATGTTATTTTTATACATTAGATCTGAGACAAAGAATGTTTTTTAATAGCGCAATGTAATAAAAGTAGTTAACTAACGATCAAGAAAAGTAACAATACCATGCCATATGCTACTGGACGCTAATGTATAAAACATGAATACCGCCAATCGGTTGCATTGAAGTTGACGGAAAGATAGGACATTTAGCTATAATGTAAAAAGCATTAATATAAATTTTTGTTTACGGCTGATAGAAAACTATATATATTTTCGTTTATGAAATTATGTATTAATTAAAAAAATTTAGATGAAAGAAAAAACAACTATAAATATTCACTTTTACGTTTATTTACTTTCTTACCCGACTTGCTTAGTCTAGTTCGATAAAGCTTCAAAAAGGTGTACTGTGGAATAATAAAACGTAAAGCACTTTATTCGCTCAAACTTTTGACAGTTTCTCCTTTAAGAACAAATGCTTGCGAGCATATTTTCTCGGATCCCTTCGATGAAGATAATAAAATTAGGTCAAGGCAGATTTATTTAATGCTAATTCACCTGCAGCTATCGAAGCATTAAAAAAAAAATTATGCAATGTTGTGCAACCTCTGTTACCATCAGTTTCGCGACTGTGTTTGATAACAAAACTGGTTATGTTTACAAATGATGACATTGAATGAAGCTGGCGGAATTCTTTTGTAGGATTAAACGTCGAACAACTTCTGATTCCTTCCTAATATTTAGCTGTTTACCGCTCACCCAAGGCTATAAATTTTATTTTATAATTCAATCATGCAAGTGCAGCACATTTTTATGTGAATCTGATGGGCCTTCTCCCCCTGTATAAAAATTTAAGTCGTTTTTGTAATAAATCATTTCATTACTGTACATTTTTCGACTCAGTTCGTTGTAATTAATTTTCGAAAACCGTGCTTTTAAGGTAAAAGGAAGGGAAATATTACAAAATTTACTTCGTAAACATTAAAAATAAAAATAGAGAACTTAGGAATTATTTCATTGGTTAATAGTTAAAAAGTTTAATAAAACTACAAGATAGTAGCAAATGTAACGCACTGTAAATTTAAAATTGTGTCTTGGCTGACCTTAATGTGACCTCCCTTACAAACATGCAGTTGCCTATTACGAATATCTTCTCTCTGCTGCAACAATAAACTCAATGGCCAAATCTGTGCTTTTCAGATTTCGCTCTTTTCTAAACACGCCACCTTATAAAAACGTTCTTTTAAAATATCTTTTTCACAAAATTATTTAATTCAGGGATCATTTAATCTGGATTGTGATATTTAAATAATAGGACTGTTCGCCATAACGACAGCTAGATCTATGAATTTCAAAACAGCTAGGGTCTACGAATTTCAAACGGGAAATAAGAGATAATCGTTTCCGGTACCTAGCTGATAGGCAATGATTTCCGAATTCAGTTTCCAATGTCTCTTATTACTATCTAGAGCCATTACTAATTAATAATATTCTTCTAAAAGAGAAGCGATGGCACATTAATTTCTTTACGCAGATCTTCTACCGAAACCATTTTTAAGGCTGGAAAAGTAAATGGCAGTGTAACTTCTAAAGATATCTATTATTGGGTTTTTGCATGCGTCTATGTATGTGAAACAGAAGTTGCGTGACTCGCGTGTGTATTTGTATCTTAATGTATCACCTATCCAGCAATTTGCTGTCATTTTGATTCTGCTGTTATAAGCAGCGAGATAGGATTAATAATTTTATAATAATCGGGAATTCCTTTGTCTCTGTATACTTTTCTATATTTTCAGTAGGATTATATTTTAACAGCTAATCTTTTTTTTAAAAAAGGAACTATTTTGCCATTCTGCGTAAAAATAATATTGTTTTTTGCAAATGCAAAGATAATTAAAAGGGTAATGATTTTAAAATCGTATTTTATTTTAACTTTCCATAAAAACGAATAAGCAATAATAAGTGATGTTGGAAATGGTAAAAATGCAATATAAAAATGTATAAGTTTTTTTTTTTTTTAAAAAACTAAAGGGAGAAACTGAAATTTGAAAACTGAATCAAATAGAAATAAACTGCTAAAAACTTGGAACAGAGTATGATTGTGTATTAATTCTGTACATTTTTCAACAGGATTTACAGAACTAAACAATTACCACGGTCCCAGTATGAAAGAAATACAAAAACATGTTTCTGAAAGCTTAAAAGGGCCAAGAAATTTAACTGCAAAAATTTTTATGCCATTGTTTATCATATGAAGGTTGTTTCTGCCGCAAATTGTTTACTTCTAAAATTAAATATTTCTGATACGATTAATTAATATTTATTTAATTTTGTCCTCCAAAATTTTTCTCCATTTCTAATTTCCTTAGAAAACTTATAAAACATACCTTCTTTCCGAGGTTTAGCATTAAGTTTTTTTTATCATTTAGCTTAGTATTTGTGATTAGCCAAACCACATTATACATATAAAACATACCTTCTTTTCGAGGTTTAGCATTAAGTTTTTTTTTATCATTTAGCTTAGTATTTGTGATTAGCCAAACCACATTATTCTCAAAAATCTTAACTAGTGTCATTTCTTCTTAACTATGTAAATTATTAGCAATACCCCATGTGCTTATTAATTTCCAGCAAGTTCATGAAGCATAAAATTTGAAAATATGAAAAAGATTTAGGTAAAAAATAGAGAAAGAAGTATAAAATTGTTCTCGTCAAAAGTACACAGGAAACCGAAGAAGATAAATAAGTCTGCCGAAAGGCTAAAAATGGCGAGCCAGATAAAATCCGTTGAACTGAAGAAATGAAAGCTGCCAATAAAAAATTAATCTGCGCAGTAAGTACTACAGAAGATAATTCTTAAAGTCAGTTTGAGTTATCTTATTTCTTTAGATGTGTTCTGCAGGGTGATCCAAAATTGCGCACATCAAACTTTCAAAATTGTTTGAATTCCAAAAAGGATATAAATGGCAACATGTTTCAATTTATAATATACAGGTGATATATCACTTGAAATTTTATTTGCAGTTTATGCTGTTAGCGTTAAAAACCGTTGATTTAGTTTTCAGAAAAACGAGATTTTATGATTGAGTATTAAATTCATAACGCAGATTTGATTGCAAAGCCATCTTTATCACACTCTTTGCTGGTGATAATTTTTTAAAATTATTATTATTGTTTCCAATGGCAGATTGGAAGACAACTGTAATCAGGAATACAAACAGAAGAAACAGGTAATGAAATTAAAACTACAGTAAGTCTATAAATCGTTCATCTTGTGCCGAGCTCTCCAGTATTTCTCTTACTAGTGTCCCGAGCCCAGTGCAGGGCAGTGACTCAATTGGTTCGCGTCCATTTCCTTACGAATGTTGCACAATTGGCAGAGAGGACTTGGCAGTATTTTTATGCAATGTAGATGCTTAGAAAGGCAATCATGGCTAGTAGCGAGACGAAAAGTGGCAACAGATCTGTCCCTTGGCCATAATGGAATATTTGTGATTTCCTCAATCCATTTCCTGCTTTGTTTGACTCTTTGATGTTTTTCAATAGTCCTGTCTAAAAGATTTTTTAAATAACCGTTTGGCGGTGTAAAAAGAAATTGGTTTATCTGTTATTTGAGCAATTTTGGTTACCTTCTTTGGCAGAGAGTCAGCTATTTCATTAGACTGGAGTCCTCAGTTTGCTGGTACCTATTAATCTGGTTTTCGATCAAATCGTTAGGGATCAGATGAATATTCAAAATATCAGCTGAAAGAGGAGCTTCAGATGAAGTAATGGTCAGAAGGGCAGCCCTAGAATTTGATAGCATAATAGCCCTTGAAAGACTTTCTGATTGGCATTGGGAATGTGGCAAAGCGATTTGAATCGCAGAGATCACCACGTTAAAGGCTGTTTTAAACCTTCCGACAGAAGTGTAAAATGAGAAGAGCCTACAGAAGACGCCAGCATTGATGCGTTTAATTCAACATGGAGCCGTCTGTAAACACATGCAGCCACTCATTATCTGGGTACAATTCATGGGTAGTCTCCAAGGCTGCAGCATTTAGAATTAAGTCATTTGTTTCTTTCTTAAAAACCTCATTTGACAGGTCTATCCTAACCATGTACCTCCTTCCTTCAGCTGGACATTGTGACTTAATGAGATGTTCCATCTCCCAGTTCAATCCTCCCGTGATAAGACGAAGGGCTTGGGAATCGATTTTTTCCAAAGTATCAGTAACTTGCTCACTTGCCGCCGCCAAAGGTTCGGAACAGTATGTAATAAGTGGCAAAATATAGGAATTATAGGTCAGGTCAAGGGTTGTTCTGCAGCATCCCCACTTAGAGCCAGCAATTCTTTTCAGTAAAGTAAGTCTCTCAGCTCTTTCCAATATATTTGTAACGTGCTCCTTTCATGTCAGTTTACGGTCAAAAATGATACCCAAATAAGAGAAGAGGTTGGTCTGAAGAACCGGGAGGTTTTGTTAAAATAAATTCAGCTTGATCGGTTGCAATGGTAATAGCTAAAAACCTTGAATGATATTATAGATATGTATGCATTAGATAAATAAAGTTTGTGTTCTTTATGTTGTCGGTCATTGTTAAGAACTTTATTTGCAAACATTATATTTATGGAAACTTAATATTAAACATATGTTCTCTAATTTCAGGAAGATAGTAAAAAAAGAGACAGAATCTCTTATTCTACAGGCTATTTTCATGGCAGTCTCTAAACAACCCTCCATTACCCCAGAAACCTCAAGTGGTGAAGGCTTGGATGAAGAGCCAACATCAAGAGGAGGTCGGTAGTATTTTTATATATCTCCATAAATCTAAATTCTCTACCTAGTCAAACAAATTTATATAAGTTTCTTAGATTTTATATTAGTTAAATTGTTTATCATTTCAAAGCCATGCAAATCTGCTATAACGTTATAAGAGGTAAATATTCAAATAGATGAATAATTTCTTTTGTTTTAAAAGGATAATGTTAACACATTACGTGTTCTCAGCATTCAAAGTCTTTTTTATATTGTTTATAAACACATACATATTTGTTTGTATTTATTATAAATAAATAAGTGAATATTTGTTAAACAAATATATATGAAATTTAATTTTTTTCTTTCTTTAGAACATTGTATATCTTAATTAAGTCAATAATAAATCTGTGACATTTCGTCTTGTGTTTCAAACTTTTTATAATTTGTGTGATGATAATCAGCAATTATGATCTTGAATGCATGAAAAAGATATTGCCGAACATGTTTCTGTGGGAGGGGAGGAAATGTTTTCTTGAAGCTTTCGGAGAAAGTTCTGGTTTTCATTGGCTTGACAAGTTTACTTTTTAATGACAAGTCGTTAAAGGTGTACTATGTGTGAGATTGCTATCTATCATCGATGATGATAAAATGAAAGCTGCTAGTGAAGCAAATTCGTCTCAAGCACGACAGGTTCTAGCACAAAAACATTCCGCTCTCTTTATTTCCTATACTTTTCGAACGTATTGCAGGTAGCACATGTTCTGTGTGTACAAAAACAATGTTAAGACCGTGCTGAGCACTGCTTTTTGGTTATCATTTGCAAATTTATGAAAAGTTTTATTGGAATGGGGAAGCGTTGGTGTAAATGAGCTTGAAATATTAATCCTAAACTCATCATTTTTTTAACCTTAAACTGTGCAGATTAGATCAGATGCATGAATCAAATAAGATTATTTATGAAGGTGAATTGCACTCTTTGATAATGTTCCTCTAAACTGTCATCACATTAAATCCATCTGGTGCTGCGAGCGATTGTCATTTGACATTCTAGTAACAAAGGAGCAATGCTTTCTAATACTTTTCGAAAAGAATTTATTTATATATCTAAAGTTTATATACATTATTATGTAAAATTAATTTAGAACGCTCTTTTGTAATCAGCTAAAACACTTTAACCTCATAACGTAAATAAAAAAAAAAAGACTATTTTCTTACAAAGAACGCTATATTCGGAAGTACATCTGACTGTAATATGAAATTCTTTGAATCACTAGTGTGTGATCGTAGAGTTTGAAATTTGGCTTGGAGGGAAAGGTGAAGCGTAATAAGAGATGGTAATTTTTCTCTGTAACAGTAAAAACCTGCCTTCTGAAGCGTATAGGAACTCCAAAACTGTAATCTTCGAGTACAACTGGGTATTAATCCAGATTTTGCGAATCATTTGTGTGAAATAGCCTAAGGATACATCTCTGACATATTGCATTTTTTCGTGGATTCTTAAAAAGCAGAGATGTGTTTCTACATATATATATTTTGGCAGATGCCGTTTGTTAGCAGTTCATTATTTTTCGTTCAGTTAGATGCCAAAATATATGAACTTTGTTAATTGTTAGTATTGGATCATACTCTACCAAATAACAGATGACAGAATTTTCTAAACCGTATAGAATGACAGAATAGATGACAGAATTTTCTCAGCCTTCACAAATGTTGTTAAATTTAAGTTATCAGTGAGGCTCGCCAAAAGCAATTTTAAGACAACTATTTTAGAAACAGTAGTTTTTCTAATTAAAATGAAATGTAACTGTCATTAATCCTTCCTTCAAAAATTATTTTAGGAAAGCTGATTATAATTATAGCAGGCAAAATATTTTTCATACAATCGAAACTTGAAATCTGATATAAAATTTATGATCGAATTCCTAATTTTTCATGCTTTAGTGGATCTGTTAGCGAATACATTGACTGGTTATTTGTAGAAGAAAGAAAAGAGTGCTTCGAGCGTAGCTTGAATATTACGTGGCGTGCGGAAAATATGATGAACTTGATGCAAGGATTGTTCAATGTTCAGTCATGAATAGCGCAAATAATAACCTTCCTCAAGATTAAGGCTGTCCATGCTTCCACGCACGCAACTACTCTCCGGATGGAAGCACTGACTGGCTTATGTTCCTGCTGTCACAGCTAATTTAGGTATTATTATGATAGTGGAGTCTTGGGGAAGAGGAAGAATTTTTGACTTAACTAGTGACACTAAAATGACTTTCGGATGTATGTGTAATATATGTATTACGTTCCATTATTAAATAATAATTGCTGAAAAATGTTTCTTTGGTGCAATCTTTTTCGCCATGGCTTCAGGGCTGTGCTTCAATGAATTTGTACTTACTTGCCTTCGCATGATAATGTGTGTCCTAAACTGACACTAGCTAGTTTCCCTTTTTAACTGAAAGCTGGCCAACACTTTTTCCATTCAAGTTCCCCCTTTCTGTCTTTTGTTTTATTCTACTTTAAGGTGTTCTGTGACGGTTAAAATAAATTCAGTGTAGTTTTCTGGCATAAAGAAGCTATCTTAAAATTAACTAAATTAAGTGTAGATTCTGGGCATAAAGAAAATGTCTTATGTCTACGTAAATTTTGGATAGATTTTTTATGCATAAAAATTATAAAAATTTTCTTCGAATCTTAACAAAAAAATTTAAAAGAGGAGTTTTCACAGTACGTCCAAAAAGATTTGGCCTTATTATTAAACATATATCACGACTTAAAGCAGACTATTTCTCATTATATAATATGTATATCTAGTTATGAAATGTATATTTTCTAAAGAAAGCTTTCCTATATGCTACGAACAATTAAGCAGGGGGGAAAAGAAAAGGAAATAGATGGGTGGTAATATGTTTCTTAAAGTATAAATTGTAAACTAATAATTACTTAAAGGACTTCAAGAGTAATTTACGATATATTACCTCTCTAAGATAATTTTATCCCGACGCTAATTTCTGTGAATTTTATGTGATTCTTTTGTAGATTTCTTTTCGAATATCAGATCCCCCCCCGGCTTATCAAATGAATTTGAAGATTTCAAACATTTCCCCATTATTTTGAGTATTTCTCATATATTTATTTTTCGTATGCACCTTTAATATTGCTTTTCTTTTACTTTGTAATATACATACATTGGTAAAATATGTTGCAAAGTCCAGAATAAAACTTCCAATCTGCGAAAATTTTGTTGACTTCTGGAATAGAGAATTAAGTCTTTTTACTGTTAAATAAATTGCTGTCCGTTATTTGTCAGTACCCACAAACGATGCCTTTATTAAACAGTTCTTTTCTAAATTTCAAAAGGTGTTGCAGGTTACCGACACTGGGCTAAAGAAGAAATTCCGGGGTCTTACGTTGTAACATATAAAGAAAACTTAAAAATCCCGATCATTCCATGAAAACCTTGATCAATCGATCTTGACCTTGAAGATCTTATAACAATGTCCATTCCGCAGATCCATTAAATGCACATACTTAAGATTTTTAGATGCGGATTATTTTATTTTTAATTCATAACTGACAGATTTTTAGGGGGGAGCGTATATTAGTCGTCGACCCCGAATTTTGTTCGTTTTTTCTCCCGCGATAAAATTCATGCTCTAATTGTAAGCCATTGAATACACATCTAAAGAAATAAATATTCAAACATGTAAAAATTCATTAATTTTGCATCTGTTATCAGGATGGAGAGCGGAATCGTAGAGAAAGGCCAGCTTTAATCCAAAGTTATTATGCTTTTAAATATCTAAAACATTCGATCCAAATTAAAATCCAGAGCGTAAGGGATATAAACGAAAGTAAATTATTCGGGCAAGTTAATTCAACTTTTGCATTTCTTCCTATCATGCAGGTTATACGAGTATTACACTGCGCATTTCTACTTCCATATTTTTTGTTTTTTGTTTTGTTATGTTTACCGTCCTTTTATAAATTTATTCATGACATTTGTTACAACTTTACAACCGATTTTTATGACCTTATTTCCCTGTGTTTATTATTTCCTGCTTTTGTCTACTTAAGGTGAATTTTTAAGCTCCCCCCTCCTGCTGAACTTGCAGTTTGTGCTCAGCATTCTTTGAATTTTAATTTATATCAAATGTCTTGCATGTATCTGAAAATAATCACTTCGAGACAAGGTCAAATCGAGATAGATAATAATAAGATCGAGACAAGGTTTTTTAAGTAGCATACTAGACAGTTTACTGCTACAGTTGAAATATGATAAATTAATTTTGTACTTTACTTGTTTCGTTTCCTGTTGTGTTTTCTTTAACTATTATTATATTTTTGCGGCCATTTTACTGCTCTGATATTTTGCTGGACTTATCTGTTCATTTGGTGTATTTTACTTGACTGTTCATTGTTTGAAATTTCTTTCCATTGTTTGAAAATCCGGAATAATTTGTATTAAATTTTTAAGGTCGTAATTTTTAACCACAAACACTGCATAAGCGGAACATTAATAAACAATTACTGAGGTATATATGTATGAGCGTAATATAAAGTTTCTAAGAAAAAATTGATTCTAAACACTGAAATTACTGCAAAATTTGGACCCCCCCCTCCCAAACTTTATTGCAAAATTTGGGCCACTCTGTAATAATCATGCGTTAGATCTAAATTCAAAAATTAAAAAAGCAAAACTTAAAACTTTTACAGTACACATTTATAGATAAAAGGAATGTTGAATTTTGTTCCCCACCTGTCGTTACTTCTGAAATCAGATCGAGACTTGATTGATATATAAGATTTATGACTTGAAATTTTGCATTTACCTGACATCACGGTATATATATTCCTCTTAGAGCCATGCCTGTTCAGTTCGCAAAATCCTTCCTCGCCCACGAACAGCACCCATAACAAAGAGCAAGAATAAAAATAAAAATAAAAGAATGATGGAAAACAACAATAATAATGCAGAAGAAAACTGAACGAAATTATCATCGAAGCGTGATCCTCAAAAACCCGGCCATGGTACCTACGTAAAAGA